CCCCCCCCCCCCCCCCCCCCCACCCCAAATCAATTGTTGGTGTTAAAATAGTCTGTGAATATTAGAGAACTATTATTGGAGAAATATTTAACAAAAAATGACCGTTTTGAAAATTTATTTTATGTTTAGCTGATGAAAAAATAGCAAAATGTTGTCACAAAACCGTGAAAATTAATCTAAACAATAAAATACTACATGGGTAATACTCCCTCCGTCCCAGAATATTTGTCCACTTTCATTTTTACACACCATCCAATCCACTTTTTTATTCCATTTTATCTCGTAATTTATATATTAAAAAATTATAGAAATTATATATTAATAATCTATATGTTAAGACAAATCAAACAAGATCACACATGACTATATTTAGGCTTACACATTGAGAGAATTTGATGAGTCAAAGTGCTTAGATGAACAGTTCCAAAAGTAAAAAATGGACAAATATAGCGGGATGGAGGTAGTAATTGCTAATTAAAGATTGTTTTGGGGAACTGCCTTATTTGAAAAGAATTTTTTGAAAATTTTTACTCCAATCTTTTGAAAATTTATTCTAAATATGTAATCACTAGCTTTGTAAAATTAATGTAGTTTTTAAATATATAATTTTTTCTTTTTATTTTCATATTAATTTAAAAATAAAATCATATTTAAAGTGATACAAATTCTGCATGTTAGTTGATAAAAATATAATTTTGGACAAAGGAATTAAGTATACTCTTGTACTATCAATAACTTTAATTTATTGCTAGTTTTTACTAATTATTTGATAAATAAATTATCATGTCTTATTTTGTAGAGTTTTTAATGTCATGTGTTTATATTTTTTATTTAGATACCAATTTGTATATAAAATTATTTTCCAAACAATAACTTTTCGCGCGTAGTACGAAGCAAGACAATGTTTTAGGACAAAGAAAGTTTTTTAAGTGCAACTGTGATTCTAAAGTTGACTTGTGAGATATGAACATTCACACCAATATTTTATGCATTATAGATTCATAATTTGATCTGTTTCTTTTGAGAAGGCCCAACTCATATAACCATTTTATATATTCGGAGGTCCAAGTAAGAACCTCAAAAGATTTAGCGAGTTACTATTCTCATCATTTAAAAAAAGGCAGAATAAGGGCACCTTTCCATTTTTATAAAACTCTCTGCTAAATATTACGTTGAACTACATAAATTCACTTTTATTAATATATGCATGTTAAATCAAATGTAAAAGGAGAAGTCGGATAAAAATAAAAAATTATAAAAATACTAAGTATGAGTTCTAAGTTTTTTTATAAAAAAAAAAACTAAATTAGGAATTAACAGTTTCACAATGTCATTATTTCACATGCACACTAACCACATTATCACACTGTTATATGTCACCGTCGGCCACCAAAACACCATCGTCAATTGCCGTTGTTGACTAGTAGTTCCCCACTAGTTGAATGATCACGCTGTCACATTACATTGAAATTATTTTTTACAATTTTAGATCTCACTACCACTAGACTTCTTTTTTTAATCTTAAAAAACTTAGCACTTTTCAAATTCTGTTAATGTAAAATGCATTCACGATAGGGAGGAATTAATACTCCTTCCGTACTTAAAAGATTACCAACAATTTGATTTTTTTGGTCAAACTGTGACATACTTTAATTGTGAATTATGGAGGTTTTTTTTAAGCAAAATGCGGATTTTATTCAATGAATATAATCCATACAAATTACAGGCCTCAAGCTCTTACATTCATCAATCACCAACCATATATCACTATAAATTACTTGTATTTGGGTTGTACATAGATAGATACACGAAACTTAAGATATGCAACACACTTCTCAACCAATGTCTTTTCCTTCCTATAGACTTTATGATTTCTAGCCCTCCATATAACATAGCAACAAACATTGAATATGGCAACTTTTAACTTCTCTTTCCTTTTTGCTGGTATCAATCCTTACTTCCATATCTCTTAAGGATTGCACTTTGATATCCACTCCAACCAAAGCAGACATCTCACCCAAAACTTCTGTCGCATACTAGCATGAACAAAAGAGGTGGTTTAAGCCCTTCACTCTTTCCACAAATGCCATAGCTAGAGTCAATTTGTAAGAATCCACTCATCCTGCTTTTGGTCTGAAGCCTTTCCTTCCATATCAGTTATGCCACCACTTGATGTTTAGGTTGAGTCCAATTATTCCACACCATATTATCCCAATTCCCAACCCACTCTTGGCGTGTCTCGCTCACATAAGCCAATTATATTCATCTTTGGTGTTATAGTCACTCACAAGAGGCATATTCTTGTCATCCCCAACCTTTGGAATTTTCTTCTAGTAAAAGCAATTACTTCCTTTACACTCATACTGTCATATTCTATCCTGCTTTAAGTACTTGTGATGCATCCATTTAACTCAAAGGATATCATTTTTTCAACAATATCCCAAATCACTTTCATAACCATAGCTTTGTTCCATTTGACCAAGCTCTTTAGCCCTAAGCCTCCGTTTGCCTTTGGCTTACATACATCTTCCTATGCTATCAAAGGGCATCTCTTATACATAGGTGATGATCACCACAGAAAGTTCCTGCAAACATCATGCATCCTCTTCATAACCTTGTTTGGTATAACAAACATCTTGGATCAGAAAGCCATAATTCCAAACAGAACAAAGTTAGTTAGTCTGATCCTCCCTCCATAAGATAGGTTTTTGGATACCCAAGAGCTTATTTTAGTAGTAAGCTTCTCCACCGACCTGTCATATTTTCTTTGTCCAATCTTAGCTGTTGTTATGAGACACCCAAGGTACCTGAAGGGAAACTCTCCTTTAGCCATTTCAGTCAGTCTCAAAATTCTGCTCTCCATTTCTAAGCTTACTTCTCCGATCCCAATATGAGATTTGTCATAATTTAGGTGTTGGTCAGTACCTTCTTAAAGTGTTTCAAAGCTTGAAGCACTTCCTTTATAGACCCTTCATCCGCTTTAAACACTACAATCAAGTCATATGCAAAAACCAAGTTAATCAATTTCAAATACACATGGAGTGATATTTGAAACCCTGTATAATACGGAGTAATAGAGTCCTAGTGAGGTACTCCATAATGACCACATACAATGGTCAGGCCCGCCCAATGGGGTGTGCATGAGGTTCATTTGAACAGGGCCCCTTAATTTGAAGGGCCCAATTTTTTGAAAAACTACAAACCCATGATTAGATTGAATTTGTTATTTTAGCCCAAAATTGTTTGAGAATTCAATGCTTTCTTCAATTCTTCTTCTCCTTCTTTAATTATCACCTTTATCATGGCTTCCTCTCTTCTATTTTATTTTCCTCCATTCCTTCTTGTGCTCGTTGTGAACTTAAGCCATCAAAACCATCATAAGGACTTTGAGGCTTCTGTTGCTTCAAAATTTTGACTAATTTATGATTTCATTTATTCTTTTTTTCAATCTTTTTAGGCTTAGATTTAATTGTTTCAAATTTTTTTAATTTTTATACTCTGTAGTCTAATTAATAGAATATGTTTTGAATGTTTCTAATTTTTATTTTATATTTTTTCTAACTTTTCCAATTTTTATCCAATCCGTGATTGATTTCATTCATCTTTGTTTTCAATTTTCTAATTTTTCTTCAATTCCGAAATTTCACTCGGTTGTAGGTCTTTAACAATGATTTTTATTTCATCATTCGTAGGTCACAGTTTTTATTTTCATTAAAAATAAACACAATTGTTCTTAATGTTCTGTTTTATTCATCTTCACTTTGTTCTCAATAATTGAACTTTTTATTTCATTTTTAAATATAAGATTTATCACATAGACATTTACTTGTTCCGTGTGTGTCCGTCAAGTAGTATATACCAATGGTTTAAACCTAGCATATCCCTTTTTCATTGTATTTTAGTATGTTTGTATATGCACTTTACCTTCTATTGAAAAATTTTAAAGTTTATTATGTTAAATGAAATAACTAATACGTTAATGTTAGTACTTTGGTTTATCACAATTTTTGTTTTAACAAAAAATTGAGGCCTAAAATATTTAATTGCACAGGGCCATTTTGAATGATTGGGCGGGCCTGACAATGGTGGAGATGGAATCTCCTCGTCTCAGGTCTCTCCAGCCTTTAAAGTACCCACACATCTCTCCATTCAGTTGAATGCAGAATATTGTATATTTAGTTGTAATATAAATTTAGTAAAATTAGGTTTATTCTAAATTATTGTTTTGAAATATTAAATTTTTGTAATATTTAATCATTTTAAAATATATTTAATACATAATCAAAGAGTGTCACAATTTAAAGACGAAGAGAGTATTAAAAACTATAGTCAAATGTAATTTTTGAAATAAATGAATAAAATAATACAGTTTGTTTTTAAGGTAGGAAAGCAGTAATTACTCAATTATACTACTCGGTTTTCGCTTTCTCTCTACCTCCTTAAAGAGAGTGGAAAAGAAAAACCTCTTTGTACCATTTTTATTACGGAGTATTATTATTATTATTATTATTATTATTATTATTATTATTATTATTAGTATTAGTATTATTATTATTATTATTATTATTATTATTTTATTGCTCCGTATCCTTATTTTATTTCTCTCTCTCAATAGACCAAACCCAGACCAAACCAAACCCTTGTTTTGCATTTCCCTTCTCCAACAGAGCCGAAAATGGAGGCTTTGGACCCGACGACGTGTTTCCTGGTTGACGGCGACGACCTTCTCGACTTCTCATTGGAGGGGGACGAAGAGGAGAAGGACAGGAACCAGACCGCCGCCGCCATTGGCTACGGCGGCCCTACGCCTTCGAAGCCCGTTAACCTCGACGGCTTCCCTGTAAGTCCCGCTCTCTATTACTCAGTTTCCCTGCGTTTATCTCCGGTGAATGGAGTCCGTGTTAGGGCTTGACTCGGGCGAGTCCCGGCGGTTTCGCCTGGCTCGAACGAGTCCGTCCGTTTTGACCTTTATTATTTACTCGAGGTGAGCGAGTCAGAATTGGCGGCTACTGTTCACTCAGGCCGTCGATGGCATTTCCGTAAATAAGCCTTGAACTGATGTCGTTTCAAACATCGCTTCGTCAGTTTCGGGGTTTGTGGACCATTTTCCTCTCCCTAATCGTAACCGTTTGAGCGAGGGGCAGTTTCGGAAATAGACCGACTGTTTCGGGACATTTCCGTAATTTGGTCGCCGCCTCTAAATGCGGGATTAATGTTGGGCGCGTCGGTTAACACGGCGTGCGATGAGCTGTGCAAATAAATGCCCTAATACCTGTCTGAAAGTGCTCACATGCGGTGCGTTTTTTGTGCGCTTGTGAAAATACGGTTTTGCCCCTGCGCTTCGATTTTCCCATTCTGTCCAATTTGCCATAAATTCCAGCTTTGATTATATTAACATTCGAATTTTCACAATGATATTCCAAGATTATGAATTAGATTCCCAAATTTGTTCGCCCAATTATGGGTCCGTTTGGAACTTGAACTGTTTTATAAAGAAAAATAGGAAAGAAAATAAGAAAGAATTCATTTCATTTATTGACTTTTGTTACTATGTAAAGACTAAAGAATATGTTAAAACTTCAATTCTAAATATTTTACCTTTGCATTTTTGGAAGTAAAGCCGAACACAATAAAATAACTCTCCCTAGCACTGAATTTCTATTTCATGGCATTTTTTGTGATCCAAACGTACCTTATTGGCCATGTTTATTCTTAAGATTGCTAAAGAGTTGGGGTTAATTGTTCTTTAGATGAGTTTTGATCAAAGACTTGCTGAGGATTCAACAAATAATAAATTAAACAGAGTAATTTCATGCATCATCTTAACTGTATTGTTTCAATGACTGAGTTGGGTGGTGTTGATTTCCTTTTCTAGGAAGCTATGGAGGAAGAGCTGGAGTGGATATCAAACAAAGACGCATTCCCAAGTGTCGAAACGTGTTTTGGCATTTTTGTGGACAACCCGTTATTTCATCAGAAGAGCCCGGTGTCTGTTTTGGAGAATAGCAGCAGTAATAACAGCAACAGCAATGTCAATAGCTCAGGGAATGGAGTGATTAGTTGCAATGCCAGCTTGAAAGTCCCACTCACTTATCCCATGCGTCCTAGGAGCAAGAATAGAAGACCGAGGAGGACTGGGTTTGGGGACTTCCCTGCCCAGAACTGCCTCTGGGCAAGAAACAAGAACGAAGCAATGTTCCTAATGCACCCAATAACAATGGCGGAAGGGCCAACTGGGACTGCCACCATTGGGAGGAGATGCCAGCATTGTGGGGTTGATAAGACCCCACAATGGCGAGCTGGTCCTACGGGGCCAAAGACTTTGTGCAATGCTTGTGGAGTGCGGTACAAGTCGGGCAGGCTCTTGCCCGAGTACCGCCCTGCCAACAGCCCGACATTTTCGTCCGTGCTGCACTCAAACTCTCACCGGAAAGTTATGGAGATGCGGCGGCAGAAGGTGGTGGGAGAGGGACCGAAGCTGATTTTAATGAAGCCTGTGGATATAGTGTAGTAGCAGCCTAGTAGTGGTGAGTAGTTCACAACATCTTGTGCAACTTTTACTTTTTTTTCCCATTTCCTTTGAAAGTTTCAGTCAGTTTTAAGGCTTAGGGTTGTTGTAATGGGCTAGGATGGGTTAGGGAACCACAGTTGTTGCTCTGCTTGTGCTATAAACAATCTAGGGAATTTTGAGCTTAGTTGTGATTGGTCATGATGATTAGAACAGAATTCCAAACAGAAGTTTTCTAACATAGGAGTGTATGTGTTCATGCTTTTTCTCATTTACTCAAGTCTTCATTTCCTCCCTTCACTTGAAATGATGAAGCTGTGAAAAGGTAAACATCTGTAAGAGATATGGTGTGAAACTGTCCACTCTTGTTTTGGCTGAATTCA